AGTGGGGCTCAGGATGAGGGGTTTAGGGTGCAGGAGTGTGCTCTGGGCTGGAACCAAGGGTTTCAGAGTGTGGGAGGGGCTCCTGGCTGGGGCAAGGGGTTGGGGGGCGGGCGGGCTCTGGAGTGGGGCTGGGGATGAAGGATTTGGGATGTAGGAGTGTGCTCTGGGCTGGAACCAAGGGTTTCAGAGTGTGGGAGGGGCTCCTGGCTGGGGCAAGGGGTTGGGATTGGAGTGGGGAGTGTGAGGGCTCTGGCTGGGGGTGTGGACTCTGGGGATGAGGGGCTTGGGGTGCAGGAGGGTGCTTCAGGCTGGGACCACGGGATTTGGGGGGGTGAGAGGAGGGATCAGGGCTGGGGCAGGGGGTTGTGGCATGGGAGAGGGTCAGAGGTGCAGGCTCCAGACGGCACTTACCTCAAGCAGCTCCCAGAAGCAGCAGCATGTCCCCCCTCTGGCTCCTACGCAGAGGCACAGTCAGGTGGCTCTGTGTGCTGCCCTGTCTGCAGGTGCCCCCACCCCCACCCACAGCTCCCATTGGCCGCGGTTCCTGGCCAATGGGAATTGCAGAGCGGTGCTTGGGACAGGGGCTGCCCCTATGCATAGGAGCCAGAGGGAGGACATGCCGCTGCTTCCAGGAGCTGTAGGGAGCCTGCCTTAGCCCCGCTGCGCTGCCGACTGGACTATTAACGGCTACGTCAGCAGTGCTGACCGGAGCCACCAGGGCCCCTTTTCGACTGGGCGTTCCAGTCTAAAACCAGACACCTGGCAACCCTATTCCCAATCCACCAATCGGGTGCTGCTGTTTGGGAAATGGAACAGACTGCAACTTTACTATAGGAAATTGACCCTTGAGAGCAGTAGAGATATTATGCCTATTGAAGCAGTGCAACTGCACAGGGCTCTTCCAGAAGTTCCCACACAACACAGTAGCCCACCGCAGTCACCCACAGCATAGCTTGAATGCCTTAAGGCAGCAGCTACATTAGCAAACTTTTCAGCCATCATTCAATACCAGTGTGGCTAAGTCATAGAGTAGACAGGGCTCTGCCATTTTGCCATCATGTTGCCTAACACTGTAGGCTAGGACAGTGGTTCTCAATCTTTCCAGACTACTGTACCCCTTTCAGGAGTCTGATTTGTCTTGAGTGCCCCCAGTTTCACCACATTTAAAAACTACTTGCTTACAAAATCAGACATAAAAATACACTGTTACTGAAAAATTGCTCACTTTCTCATTTTTACCATATAATTATAAAATAAATCGATTGGAATATAAATATTGTACTTATATTTCAGTTTTCAGAGTAGCAGCCATGTTAGTCTGTATCCGCAAAAAGAAG